CATGGATAACCGGCCCAAATTCAGAGGTAGCCCAAATGCCCATTCTAGCAAAGTAGGGAGCCTACTTGGAGCAACGAGCAGAATTTAGCTCCAGCCCCTTGACTGCAGAGTTGCAAACTGTATTGGGCCCTGGTGAATTTGTGTCTGATGCTGACCCTCAGACAATGGTAATACTAAGGGAGAAGAGCCTTAATCTTGAAGGACAGGGTCCCCCTCCAGTAGAAGTGTGGTATACTGATGGGTCCAATTGTGGCCCTTCAGCCCTATGGACAACGGTAGCCATCCAGTTGGATCATGATAAAATTTGCTTTGAAATGGGACAGGGACAGAGCAGCCAATGGGCTGAATTGCATGCCATGTGGATTGTGGTCATGCATGAGCCGTCCCCTGTACATGTCTGCACTGACAGTTGGGCCATTTTTAAGGGCCTCACTGTCTGGTTACCTACATGGAAAGCCCAAGGTTGGCTAGTAGAACACCGCCCGGTATAGGGACAGGCAATGTGGGAGGATTTATTGCAGCAAGGACACCAGAAGGAGGTCTGGGTATATCATGTTTCAGGACATAGACCTCTAGTCAGTCTCGGCAATGATGAGGCCAATACACCGGCAAGGGTGTGATGGATCAGGTCACCCTTGCCGAGTGATAAGGCCCTGTAGTTATACTGCTGTCTGGGCTATGCCAGTGTAAAAACTATGGCTCAAGTGAACCAAAAATGGAGTCTACACATACCTATGGCAGATTTATAGACAGCTTGTCACCAATGCGAGGTATGTGCCCAACAGTATTCACACTGTAGGCGACTCACCACCGTTCCTGGTCAGGTCCGGCAGGGAGACCATCCTTTGGAGAGATGGCAGATTGATTATGTCGGTCCCCTACCTCAGTCCAACATGGCAGCATACCTTCACGGCAGTCGATACCACTACCGGTCTCCTTTTTGCCTACCCGGTTGCCCAGGCTGACCAAACATCTACCATTAAGGCGCTGGAATGCTTAACCACTCTATATGGGTGACTCCTCACTATAGAAAGTGATTTGGGTAGTCATTTTATGGGACATGAGGTTCAGGAGTGGGCACACCAAATGGATATCGAATAGGTAGCCGACGTGTCCTACTGGCCTCAGGCCACTGGCATGACAGAGCGATACAATGGTTTGTTGAAGGGGAAGCTAAAAAGTGGGACCTCTCCCCTATCTCTCCAACATTGAACGAAGAGGTTAGATCAGGCCGTTCAGGCGCTAAATGAGCAGCCCTGAAAGGGTGGGCCTGCCCCTTTAGACTATTTAAGCTACAAGTAAACCATTCCCCTCTGATTAACAGATGTTGCCAAGGACTCTTTGATGCGACCCCATGTAACCTGGGACAGAACTGTTCTGCTTCCAGCCCCAATTCCCCTCAAGGAAGGAGAGATGAGAACCTGGACATGGTCTTGAAGTATAATGGGCCCTGAACCCCAGTGGATCGGTCTGTTAGCCCCGTGGGGGGATGTGTTACATACGGTACCTTTCCAATGTATCACCTGCTATGCTCACCCCTAAACAACAATTGGTGTCGGTCATGGTGGGCCACCATGGGAGGAACACCCTCCTCACAGGCACTTTAGTCCTTGCCTTTTGGGTAATTCCCCTTGTTTTAGCACCTGAAACTACCAAACATATTGTGGGTGAAACTGTGTGGTACCATCATCCAGGACAAAAGACAATTCCAGCCACAATCTTATCTCAAGATGGACAGGTAGCCTGTGTGCTGCCTGAAGGGCATGAGTTACCCTTAGTGGTCTCCCTGTCTGCTCTTTCTTACTGACCAAGGTAATCTAGGCTAACAGCATCGCCTCCTGGGCCCATACTTACGCTCAAGTCTTGAACATCTCTCATTGCTGGATCTGCACGAATTCCCAGTAGAAACCGCTGGCAGCCTACCCTGGAACATCGCCCCTGCTTCTCTACAAAATTGGACTTTCCTGATCACGTAGGGGCCCCAGGACGCCAATTACAACTCCATCCGCATGGCAGTCGAGAAGCATCTGTGACAGGACCACCACACTCCGTGTCCATGCCCCACTCTGGGATATGCTATTTGGAACAGTTGGGGTTGGTTATTAGGGGAACAAGTAGAACTATGCCAAGTGGCCCCCTTACGTATAGAACAGAAAATGGGATTAAGGGATTGCACTGTAAAATGGATCCCGAAAGAATTCTGTACAAACATTACTCAGATTGGTAATGTCACCCACTGGTGGAATGGGAAACCTTTGGTAGGGACTGTCCCCACCAACAGGGTGCCCCCAGGATTTCTATGGGTACATGGAAGATATGGATGTCCCTATCTTCCCACTCGTTGAACGGGGATGTGCACTTGGGGATGGCCATATATCCCAGGGAAGGTCCACCCCACCTTTACCGAAAAACCACATAATTGGGATGCTGTGTTCTCCTGCTGGCATCAGGCAAAATGGACTCCATGATGGTTCTACCCAGTAGTCATCTTTTTCCCTGGGGTGGAGCCATTAAGGTAGAGCTAGAAGTGAATGCCCTAGCAGAGCATACTCCTCGGGACCTAAGTCAAACCAGACAGACCTTGACCCTCTTAGTGGGTGAAGTCACACAGATAAGAAAGGTGGTTTTGCAAAACTGCATGGCCGTTGACCTCCTTCCTGCAGCGCAAGGGGGCACATGTGCAGTTACACATACTAAATGTCGTGTTTATATACCCAATCACCAGAAAGATATCTCCTCTACATTGAAGAACATCAATGGCGAGGTACAAGCCATCCTGTACCTGAAACCCATTACAACAACAGTGAGGACACCTCTTGTTGTCCTGGTGTTGGACTCTCTTAGTTTTAGGAGCTATTTATTGTGGTCTAGTAATACTATACTGTTCCCTGTATTGTTGTTGTAACATTTTTGCCCAAAAGGCCCCCATAGGAGCCTGTGGGTCGGCCATGAAACCTGTTGCCTAGGGGGTGGACTGTAAGGGGAAACTCATTTGTATAGCCAATAGGTTTCTTAGGCCACACCACAATGACTGCCTGTGTGTTTTTTGCTGGACTTCCGGTAAAACGAGTCAACACGCTTATGTAACTATGATGTCACCTCTTATGTAAGACCATGTGATTACCCCTCCACTTGGGCATGTTGCCACTATTGGTCCAGCCATATATAAGTGCTCGCCATATTCTCACTGCCGTGACATCATCCCGACAGTATGTCTCATCTACCTGCTGCTGCTCATCTCTTCTTTCAACTCTCGGAACCCGCTCCGGTACCCTCGCTGGCTGTGTAACTCCTGCCCCACACTTGGGTTCCTCCATCCCAGCTCCATGACAAGGTTTCAAACACAGGAGGACAGAGACAGCTCAGCCTGTGGCAGCAGATACACAGTAATTCCAGCTGTCAGGCTGGACGGGAATAAAGTGACCAGCAGAGATGGAGGCTGAGAGTAGGAACCCTTGTGTCACCTTCAGGGCTAAAAGCAGCCAAATTACCCTTTTCACCAACATCATGGCTAATGACTCACACTTATTTAAAAGTACAGCTCTTTTCCTCTCCAGAAAAAATAAAGTGAATACTCCAGAAGAGCCAAACAAACAGAAGCAAAGACAGCCTTTCTCTGGGCATGTGGGGCTGCAGTCGGAGGCCCACCCTGTGGCAGAGGCTTGGCCAGTGCCAGCTGGGGAGCAGGGGGTGCTGTAGGAACCTAAGCCACTGGGAAGCACAGAATCAAAGTAGGACCTAGACAGGGTGGCAGATGACAAAGATGAGAGTGAATTGTGTGCCAGGTACGGCCACATCAACCCCTTGAGAACGTTTCTGGAGGAGGAGATGAGCACACAGAGGTGGAGGCCCTCGAACGGGGCCCCATGCTCAGAAGGTGGCAGCCTTGGGACCAAGCCTGGCTGCTGGGCCTGGAATGGGGGAGGCAATGTCCTGCCTGCAGAGCTGAAGCTGTATGTATGTCTGTAACACACAGTTCTGCAGCAAGGATGCACACCCAGCAGCACCACAGCCTTGCTGGAGAGGGGCACGGCAGCTCCCAGGGACAGTCAACTATGCACTTGCCCCACTATTCTTGTACTAAAGCTTGTTCAGTTTTGCAGCCTTTCCTTGAATAAACAAAGAGTTTCTACAGGAGGCAGATGAATCCTCTTAAGGTCTTTGGATAGGCCCCGCTGCTCAAGCAGCTGGATCGAAGGGAGAAGGTCTGCACAGGCCCTGACACTTGCACTCACTCCTCCTGAAGGAGGGCCTCGCTGCCAATAGCCCCTCCTGAGGGGAAATCGGTTCACACTGATTCAGCATGACCCAGAGGCAGAGAAGAATTTAAAAAGCCCAGACAGCCCATGGTTGGGGAGTTGAAAGGACAGTGGAAGAGAGTAGAAGGCCTGCTCTGCCATGGGTCCTGGGCTTGGGGCAGGAGAAGGGGAGGGGTGGGACACTTGCAGAGGAGGCACCAGGCAGCCACCTCTGGCCTCCAGTCTTCCTGGCCTAGCCTTGCTTTCCTGCCTGCTATCCTGAGGCTGGACCCCCACACGCTGCCCTGCTCCCAGCCTGAGGCCTGGCTCCACCCTGTGGGGGGCGGGCTTTGCTGCCTGGCTTGGCTGGGGGAGCTCTGCCTGGGGGATGGGGTGTGTGCTGAGATGGAGAAACAAGCCAACCCACAGCTCATTCTGGGGTTGCTAAACTGCATAAAGCCTTGGTGTGTACACAGACAAGAGTCTCCTTGAGGGTTTCAAAGCGCAGCAATGTTGCCTAGCAAGGTGGTGCCATGTAGGGGTGAGGCTGGGCAGCCTGGTCACACCTAACCTCACCTGAAAAGGTTGGCTGTGACTCTGATGAGTCAATGGCATGAAGTGGTCTGACTAGTGTCTAGAGGTTGCAAATATCACCAGAGTGTTTGTGTAAACAGGGACTCACAGAATGATTTCCCTGAGGCATAGGTGCACAGCCATCCAGCTTACAGGTGACCCCATGACCTCAGCTGGCCTGCAGCCTACCTGCCCCGTAGACCACCGAGTACACCACTTTCTTGGTCTGCTCTCTGTCTGCGTGTGTCACGTGTTCCACGGGAATGTCCTTCCTGTGTGGAAAGACAGCATGTTGTCAGGCAATCGGCACTGTCAGCAGAGGGGGTCCAAGCCACACGCACCCCCGTCACAGTTCTTCCTCTGGAGGTTCTTAACCATTTCAAATCTGCCTGTCACACGAGCAGGGGAGACATTCAACATGACATCTGCTGCCTCCAGCTCCACAAGGGCCCAACACAGATACTGGTGGTGAGGCTGTAGCAGCTGCAAGCCAGCCCAACTTCAAATCCCCAAATTCTGGGGTGTCCATAAATCAAAATCAAAAACTGCTTTCACCAAAGGAGCGTCCAAAACTTCAGGAGAGCCTGCTCCCGTGCTGGGGTGCCTGTGGCCTGGGTCACAGCTGTGTCTACTGCAGAGGGTGAGCTGGTTTCTAGCCCTTTCTAGTCCCACTGTTGCCTCTGTCCTGGCCACCCACAGACAGAAGGCCATTGGGTGAGCCGTGTACAGCATTCAGACAGAATAAGGATCAGCTCAGCATCTGACTGGCATCTGAACCACAGCAATCTCCAAAGATTAAAGCTGAGACATCTGAGTGGAGCAGGAGCTACAGGGCACTGCCAGCAGCACCAAGAGTCCCTCCTTCCTGCTGGAGCACCCACCCAAGGACGGGCAGCCAGCCATGTACCCTGGGTGCCTCTTCCTGCTGCTGCTCTTGTAAACATCCTTATATCTACAGCAAGCCTCCCTCGATGGACTGAGCATGTCAAATTCAGAAGCTGAGAGAGAGGAAGAGAGAGAGAAAAACACTTCTCCCAGTTTGTGACTGGCTCTGTGCTGCGGCCCTCCATTGCTTAGCCAGGCTGTTACTACTCTGCCTTAGCCTTCACTTCCTGTTTGCACTGAGCATAGACACCAGCCTAAGGTGAAAGCTCAGAGTCTTCTTAGGTCTCTTCTGAGATGCAAGCTGCCCTGGGCATGCACAGGCCTACCTAAATTTCCCGGAATACATGGGTGCTTTTAAATGTCTTAATTTCCCAAAGAATCTCTCTCCCCAGTTTTTCCTCCAAGCTTTCAGTGCTCTATTCTTTGCCTCAGCTGTAATCTTTTGCCCCAAGGTGCAAGTCGTTTGTTCGCCTTACAATGTTTTCAAGCAGTGCTGGCCACTCTTCCGCACTGAGTTGGTCCTGAGTTAGGTGAAACAATGACAAGCACCTGTGCCAGTCCTTCAGGCAGCCCCTGGACAAGTGAGAATAGACACACACTTCTTTTCAAATGAGGTGTGCTCTGCTCCCTCCAGAACCAGGGACCAGGTCCCACGCTGGGGATACACTGCTGCCTTTTTCAAGACTCAAAGGGGCAGGGGCAAGGGCAGCTAGAAATGCCACAGGGCTCTCCTGCAGCTTGAAGTTGCCTTTTTCTTGACTCAGCATTTGCTTGGTTGCTGTAAACCTTTGCCTGTTTTCCAGAGTTCTGGCAAAGTTGGTTCTGACAGTTTTTGTTTGATTTTTCAATGCTTCTGTGTGGAATGGGCATGTGGCACTGCCTACCCTGCTGTTGTTGCTGACAGCCCAGACTTCATCGACTTTTACCACCTGATTTCTAAGTACCAATGTATTTCTAGTTTTCCCCCTTGTCCTGCTTTGTTAAGCTATTTTGCCCCCTTGTTTATCTCATCCTTAAACTTGGATTGTTAAGAGCTAAATTTAGATAGGGAGCAAAAAGCCAAAATCTATGCTCAGAACAAGTATGTCAACTTCTGTGTCACAAAATATCTCACTCCCTACCTCTATTTGGGAAATGTGCTCCAAACATGCTCCCAGGAAAGATATTGTTAATAAATATATTAAGATTAGCTTCCTCTGTGACCCTCCCAGGGCTACCCGCAATTAAAGCAGACATCGTCTTAGCTCAGATGAATGGATCTGATGGTAACTGTAGTTGGGGTGCTCTGGGGCAGGGCATGGCCCCTTGACCAGACAGACCACATAGGTAACCTCCTTCCAGTTTGCTGTATGGGGTTGGAAAATTGTCTGAGGAGGCAGCATTAAAATCTGCCAGAACACGGTTCACAGAGAACCAAACTGTGACAAAATCCAAATAATATAATAAACAGATAATAATGGATATATATCAAACAAACACTCTGATGATAGAGAATAAACTTTCTTTTCAAGCACATATGGCATATGTATAACTGATCATATACTAAGATACACAGAAAACATAGGAAGGTTGCATAAACTAGAAATATTAAAATAACACTGTGATCACAGTACAAAAAACCTAGAAATTAAAAACAAAACAAGAACGCTTCCACCTAGAAATACACCAAAAAGAAAATACACTTCTATTAGCCATCCTTTGGATGGAGGGAAATACAAACAGAAATTATATAATTTCTAATGAAAACACTTTATATTAGAACTAATGAATTACATATAAAGCAATAATGAAATTTCATAGCCCTAAATTCCTATATAAATAAAAATGAAAGAATAAAAGTAAATGAATTAAGTTTTCAATTCAAAAAGCAAGAAAAGAAACAATAAAGCAAATCAAAAGAATGTACAAGGAAGGAATACAGCTAGAATAAAGATAGGAATAGAAATTAATGAGTTAAAGAACAGAAAAACAGATCAAATTAATGGTTCTTGCAAAAAATAAAATAGACAAAACATTAGTTAATTTAATCAAAAGGGAGAAAGCACGAATATACAAAATAAACAACAAAGTACTGATATGAAGGAAGTTAGAAGAAAACCTTAAAAAATTATTTTGTACAACTCTATGCAAGTAAATTTGAAAACCTAGATTAAATGAACAATGTCTTAAGAAAATAAGAAAATATGGTTATAAAAATTGACCTCAACAGAGATAAAAGTTAAATAGACCAATGCCCATAGAAGAAATAGAAAAAATAATTAAGGAACTACCCTACAAAAAACAACAGATCCAGATTGCTTCACAGGGGAATTCTATTAAACCTTTAGAGACAAGATAGTCCCGATGTTGTATAAATTATTTAAGAGCATAGAAATAAAGAAAAATTTCCAAGTTTATTAAGCAAATATAACAGTTATCCCTAAACATGATAAAGAAAGCATAATAAAGGAAAATCACAGACTGATCTTAAGAATATTGGTTGATGTAAAAATCCTAAATAGAATATTAGCAAACAGGCGCCAACACTATACCTATTCCTAATAAAACATCTATTCCTAATAAAAACTCTTGAAAAAAGAATAATTGGATACTTCTTCCAAATAGTAAAACAATGCACCTCAATCCTAAAGCTAGCGTCTTAATAGGGAAACACCAGAGGCATTCTTACTAAGGTCAGCAATAAGGCAAGGATAGCCACTATTTCTACTACTATTGAACATTGTTCTGAAGGCATTAGCCAAAGCAATTAGGTAAGAAAAAAATAACCAGAGGCATAATAATTGAAAAATAAAACAATCTCTAGTTGCAGATGACATGATAGTATTCCTGGAAACCCCTAGAGAATCAATAATAAAATAATTCAGGAAGGTAGCAGGAAATAAAATTAACATAAAAATCAATAGCCTTCATAGACACAAACAACAGTATGAAGATATTATGGAAGAGAATATCTCATTTACAATATTAACAAAAAAGATAAAATACTTAGAAATAAACTTAAGAAATGTGTAAAACCCACATGAAGAAAACTTTAAAACCTCCTGAATGACACAAAAGATGACTTGTCAAGTGAAAATATATTCCTTCTTTTTTACTGAAACATCTGAACATCATCAAGATGTCAGCTGTCCCTAAGTTAATCTGTGAATTTAATGTGATCTCAATAAAAATGCTAACAAGTTTTTTTTATGGAACTAGACAAGGTGATACTAAAGGTCATATGGAAAAACAAATGCACAAGAATAAGTGGGAAAACAGAAACAGAGGAGCTATGAGCGGGACCGGGTCTCCCAGGTATTGAAACATACTACACGTGCTCTGTAATTACACGAGTGAGGTACTGGCATACGAATAGGCAAAACACTGGAGCAGAACAGCAGGTCCAGACATAGACTCAATGACATATGGAAATCTAATATAATAAAGATGGTATCTTGAGTCACTGAGACAAAGATGGACTTCTTGATCAATAATGCTGGGACAACTGGATAGCCATTTGGAAAAAGATAAGAGAAAACATGACTGAATTCCTCTGTAACTTGGCTGTGGAAATAGGCTTTCTAACCATGACTCAAAATCCAGATGCAAGAAAAGACTGATAAATTTGATTACAACCCCCCAAACAACTACAAAATCAAATCTTTTGTATGGCATAAAATACCAAAACAAAGTCAAGAGATAAACAATGAACTAGGAGAAAATATATGTAACATATACCACAGATGAAGGGCTAATATCATGAAATACAAAGAGATTTTTTTTTTTTTGAGACAGCGTCTTGCTCTGTTGCTCGAGGCTAGAGTGCAGCGGCATCATCGTATCTCACTGCAACCTCAAACTCCCAGACTCAAGTGATCCTTCTGTCTCAGCCTCTGGAGTAGCTGGGACTACAGCCATGTGCTACCATACCCAGCTAATTTTTCTATTTTTTGTAGAGATGGGGGTCTTGCTTGCCTCTACTAAAAATAGAAAAAATTAGCCAGGCACGGTGGCATGAACCTGTAGTCCCAGCTACTTGGGAGACTGAGATCCTCTCAAGAGGATCACTTGAGCCCAGGAGACTGAGGTTGCAGTCAGCTATGATGATGCCACTGCACTCTAGTCAGGGTGACAGAGCGAGACTCTAAAAAAAAAAAAAGAGGGCTCGGTGCAGTGGCTCACGTCTGTAATCCTAGCACTCTGGCTGGGAGGCTGAGGTGGGAGGATCGCTTGAGATCAGGAGTTCAAGAGCAGCCTGAGCAAGAGTGAGACCCCATCTCTACTAAAAATAGAAAAAATTAGCTGGGTGTGGTGGCATGCGTGTGTAGTCCCAGCTACTCTGGAGGCTGAGGAAAGAGGATCTCTTGAGCCCAGGAGTTTGAGCCTGCAGTGAGCTATGATAATGCCA